ATTATCAAGTTTGTTTAAAGCTGTACTGTGACTTTTATTGTATGAAGAAATAAACCTTAAAATACATGCAGAAATGGAGTGCTTTCTGTCTTTACATAGAATGCATACTTTTTACAGAAGAAATGTTTTATATTGTTTTGTTTTCTTATGTTTATGCATAGTCTCATACATCTTATGACTCTGAATCTCTAGCATTGAATTCTACATATATAACCTCATATTTTTCCCTAGAAGTAAATAAAATAGAAATCTTCTTGAAATAGCACTTTTTTGTCAGTGTTTTTTCCCTCTTTAAAGAATGTTTTACATGGCTAAAAGAATTAGTTAAGACCAAAAAGGTTCATGATGAAAAACAGCAGTCCCTGCCCTAATTTAACTCACATCTCAGTTCTGTCCCCCAAGTAAAAACTTTTTAACTTTTTTTAAAAGCAGTTTCTTCTGTCATTTAACCCCCAGTATAGTGATATTATGTCTACCCTAGATTTCTTGACTTATCTCTTTCAGACATTATCTATTGATTTCCTGATAATGGTAGGTAGGTGAGATTTTTAGCTTTTTTAATACCCTATCTTTGTATCTTCTTACCCTGTATTTCTAATTTATTTACTTATTACAAATTTAGTTAAATCAGCAGTCAGTATTCACATATAATGTTTCTTTCAGAGCCAGGTAGTCATAATGTAATCATTACATTTTTCTTTTTTAAAAAATGCAATTTTCCTCAAGTTACTGGTTTTCTTGATTTGTGTAATTTTCTGTAAATCCACCTTTAAATATTCAACAGTTTTTCACGGGAGTAGAGATTAGGACATAACAGTCAGTTTCACTTGAGGGAAGCCCTTCTCACATAAAGAGATCACCTTCTTGGGGTCAAAGGGCCTGTTTTCATGATCCTAACAGATGTCAGTATGATTCTAACTCAGATTAATTATGAATCAAATGGGAAATCCAAGCCTTGTAATTGAAAGTTTATTGATCTCTAGGTCTATGTCTTGAGTACTTAGCAGTTATCCTGGTCTCCAATTCCAGAACTTTATGGATAAACTGTGATGTAGTATCTGATGATTCTAAAGAAGTAGAAACTTTCCAGTTCTGATTGATTACTAAAATAACTCCCAATAGGTTCAGTGTAGATTGGAAACTGAAAGAGGCTTTTAGTACCAGGGTATCAGCCTGTCCTGTCAAAGAACTCTCACTATTCTGTTGGATTTGCTAATGAGTCTGCTAGATCTACTAAATCTAGTATCTAGAAGAGTCAACTAGTCAACTAGAAATCCTCTCAAATCCCATGTAATTGTAGCAAAGATTTGTCAACATAAAATACCACAATTATATAAAAGGATGCAGAAAATTTTCATTCCCTATCTTTAGGATTTCTGTTGACAGGGAGGTTAATTTCAGGTATTGAAGTGCTTTTCTGTAAATTTTCCAAAATACTTTCTCTGCATACCTAAATTGCATATTTCCCTTTTCCCCAGATTCCTAAAATAATTTCATCTGATATTTTTGGTGTATAAAAATTGAACAGTTCCCTTTTTTATATTCAGAGGCTGAAAAAACTTAATTTGAAACTTAATAAATTTTTTTTGGCAAAAAAGTTCTTAAAAGATTTTGGGCAAACCACATTTCTAAATTTTTTAAATTTGCTATTTCTTGGCGGAGCTTTATGCAAAGGAGAGTATAGACCTTTCTGGCAACTGAATAAATTTTGAAATATCATATGAGGAATGTTGGGCATAAAATTTCAAAAGAAACTTTAAAACTTTATTTAAAGTCACTTTAAAGAACAAGAGAAACTTGGTAACAACTCTGTCAGGGACAAAGATAATATTTACATTGTAAAACTTGTTAAAGTGGCACTGAAATCACAAGTGCTCATTAAATACTGTGATTATACATGCATCCCAAAGTATAATCCAAATTATATATTATCATGTAACAATTGGCTTGCACTATAAATTTGTACCTTTTTAAAGTTTACATACATTTTCAGTAGTAATATTGAGATCTTTCTTAAATAATTGTCATCAAATTAAAATCCAAGGTTTTTAATAAAATATTACTGTAATGAACTGAGGAGGGGAGAAAATGAATCTTCTTTAGTTTGAGTACTTGCTGTGAAAACAGAATCAGGAATATACTCAGACAATACAATAAAAGCAATGATTTATTATACACATGGGTTTTATAGATAACATTCCTGAAATATTTTTCTATTGGTCTTTTCTTTGTTTTCCTGAATAATCTTGTAAGAGACAGGTTGAAAGAGAGTAATTACTTTGGACTTAGTTTTCTGATTTATTTCTGAAACTAGATAATCTCTATAAAGTGTTTTTTAGGTCTAAATGTTATTTAGGAGATAGTCATGAGTTAGAGGTATTTAAGGGGTGCAAATATAGAGTAAGGAAAATAGAGATAAAAAGATAGAAGAAGACTAGAGAGAAAAGGTATTTACTGAATGTCTGTGATTGCAAATGAAATTTACACGACTGTAGTATACCTAACATTTTTGTTACCAAGGTTGTTCCTGCTCTCTTTTCCCAGTTTCAGATATACTTTTCTCCACAATGATAGCTTGGCTAACCTAAAGAATTATACATTAAATAATGTAGCCACAGTATGTCTCAGTATTTAACTTACTGGCAAAAAGAGTTGATTACATAAAACAGGATTTTCCCTTCAGCTCTCTGAATTTTTAACCATGACTTCCTGACCATGCTGCTGTTTGTCTTTTGACTGCCATGACATGTGATCTGACTTCTGCAATATAGTCTCCTCATTTTTTGTAAGTAACTAGTTCTGGTTGGTACCTTTCCCTGAGAGACCCACTTTTCTGCTTATAACTCCCATTTGCTTTGGGCTATTCATTATTTCCCATACATTAAGTGTAAGTCATCACAGGTTGGATTTAGCTTACTTTATTCAAACATTTGTGTTAGGTTATATGCAGATTTTTAGAGAATAAGATAAGGTCCGTGCTGTCGAGGAACTTATAGTCTAGTAAGAAAGTGAGAGGCATAAAGACATTTAGTATAAGATTTACGATATAATTATGTATCAAAAAAGAGGAATAATTGTTAATACTATGGGTTGGGGCTGATGGAGTAAATAGTCTAGGACTGTGAGGATGACTCAGTATTAGAAGATGTAACAGTGTAATTCATTACATTAACATGTTAAATAATAAGAATCAGGAGTAGATGTGGGAAAAATTCAGCACCCATTCAGATACTGAATAGGAATAGGAGGGAACTTAACTTGAAGGAGGGTATCCATCAGAAATTTTCAGCAAACATTGTTCATTAATGGCAAAACATTAAAAGCAGTCCCATTAAATTTGATAGCAAGATAAGGACAGATACTATCTCTGTTATTACTTGTTAATAAAATAAGTAAAGAAATGAGATGTAACATTGGAAAGAAGATAAACTATCACTTGCTGACAGTATGATTTTTTTTACCTAGAAAACCCAAAGAAATGAACTGAGTAAACTAAATTTTCAAGGTAGTTAATCAGAAGTGCAATATATAAAAACTACAGTTTTCCTATTATACAGTAGCAAGGACCAAGTACACAGTGTGATAGAAAACAAATCCATTTCACTAACAAAAACCCAAGTAAGAAAAAAAGATCTTAATTAAATGTATAAGATCTTTGTGGGGAAATTTTAAAATTTTACTGATGCAAGTCTTTTATCAAATTCTTTTTATTAGTGAAGTCCTAATAAATCTCAACAAGGTTTTTCATAGAACGTTATATATATCCTAAAATTCATAGAAAAGAGCAGCATGTGTGACTAAGCAGGACCATTTAAAAACAAAAGAGAGGGACCTGCTGTAATAGAATCAATGTAACAATGAAGCAGTAGTAATATTTAGAAGGTTTTGGTGACACAGGAGTAGACAAATGGTGTAATGGAACAGGATAGAGTCCAAAAGGAGATCCACACTTATGTGGAAATCTAGTATAGTCATTGAAGCCATTGGGAAACAGTAAGCTCTTTGGTAATTGATGTTGGAATAATTGACTATCAGTATAGAAAAGCTACAAATTATATTCAAGAGAACCTTTAAAAGCACCAACAAACAACCTGTTAAGAGTTTAGCAAGGTTTGTAAAGATAAGAGCAATACACAAATACTGATAGCATTTATATATCAGTAGTAACCTAGTAGCAAATATATTTTTAAATATTACACTTTAATAGCAAAAACTAGAAAGTTAAGAATATAGCTAATAAAAGGACTTCCTAGAGAAGATTATAAAGTGGTTTTGAAAAAGAGTTGTATATGACTCAAAAGCACAGGCAACAGAAACAAAAATAGACAAATAGGACTGCATTAAACTAAAAAGTGTTATCCTGTGTCATCACTTTGCTCTTTAACTTCTTCGGGGCATTTCCTGCTCAAATATAGTCCCCATTATCAAGTGAGGAGATACGTTTATTGGGTATTAGCCCATATTTTACATTCTTGATTTAAATAGATTTGGGGGGGTGGAAAGATATATATATACACACATATAAACATATATGTATATATACATATATATTCATATATATATATACTATATTCATATATATATACATACAATATATTCAATTCAATATTTGTATTGAGTATATTGTGTATATATATATATATATATATACACAATTCAATATATATATAAATATATATATATATATTTAAAGGAATTAAAAGGTTATTCATTCCAGGAAGATGGAGAGACAAAATGAGAATGAAAGGCAACATCTGACTACAGACTTACTGTAGAAATTTATTTTACCACTTATTTGAAATACCAGATGCATTGCTATGAATAAAAAGCACAGAATACATGTCAAAGTAGTCATAGGTTCTTTTGGATCATCTGTTAATGCAGATGAATACACAGTTTAAAGAAAAAATGTATTATATGATTATTTTTACTCGTCTATAAGTTGATAGGTATATTTCAATATAATTTTAGTTTAAAGTATTTCTTTTTATTTCTTACAGTAATCCTAAATCAGAGAGTCAGAGGGTAAATAAAAAAGTCAACAATGATGCCTCACTTAGAATTCATAATCTGTCCATTTTGGTGAGACAGATAAAATTTTATTACCAGGTAAGTGGTCCTTTTTTTTAATCTAGTATTTTAGTAACTGCTTGGGTAGTCAGCTTTCTGTTGTTTAGTATGTCACCTTATGTATACTAAATGCTTGTTATGTGCCAAGAACTGGCCTATTTGCTGGAGGTAGAGTAGTAATAACATAGTTCATTTCTTATACAGTATTAAAGGTACAAGTCTGTACTTCATAATTATCCCATTTTTCAAATAATTGTTGTATTTTATGAACTTTAGAAATTATTTCAGTTTTCTGAGAACTTACATACTGCAACACTTTGTTAGTCTACTCGAATTTGGCCTTCGAAAACTGTCTTTTTATTCCTTTTTTTAACTTAATTGGAAGCATATTTCACAACTTAAATATGAGCATTCTTGAGGCTATTAACATGCCTCTAAGAATTGCTGTTGCTACATCACACAAATTTTGGTGTGTTGTATTTTTTTGTTTATTTTTATGCATTTTCTGTGATTATTTAGAAGTATGCTTATAGATTTCTAAATATATGATATTTTTCAAGCAATCTTTTTGGTTTTGATTGTTGGTCAAAAAATATGGTTTATATGATACTGATTCTTTGACGTTTCTTAATGTTAACTTGGCTCAATATTGTCCATTTTCATTAATGTTTTATGTGTGCTTGAAAAAGATGTATATTCTCTATTTGTTTGGGTGCAGAGTCAGAGCAAGCTTGTTTGTTAATTGTAATGTTCAAACTTTTGCAGCTTGATTAATTTTATCTCTTGATCTGTCAGTTATTGAGAAAGATGAGTTGAAATCTCCTGTTACCGTCATAGATTTGTCAAGTTTTCGTTAATACACCTTAAAGTTATGTCATTAGGTGCAGACGAGTTTTAAATTATTATATTATATATATAATATATATATTATATTATTCTGGGGAAATCATACCGTTTGTCATTGTTTCTACATGTTTTTGTTTCTACAGGTTTAAAAGTTTTTCACCCTACTTTTATTTTTTTGGAGGATTTCTTGAAGGTGTACCGTTTGTACTTTTCATAGCAAAGGCCAAAATTAATCAGTAGCATTACTCTTTTATAGAGTAGTACTGTGACCTTAGAATACTTTAATTCCTGTCCCCCCTTACAATTTTTAAGCAATTCTTATCTTGTATTTTAGTTCTTTTTTTAAAAAAAATCCAGTAAAGTAAATACTGAAGGTACTTAAATCAGTGTTCCTTTAGATCAAGCTATATGTTTTGTTTTTTTTCCTTCTTACGGTTTTTCTTTGTATCTCAGACTTGCTTTTGGTATTATTTTCTTACTGATGTCAGCCTTTAAATGTTTAAATGTTTGTTTAGAGAAGGCTTGTTGATAGTAAAGTTTTATCAATGTTTGCCTGAAGATGCCTTTATTTCACCCTTGTTCTTGAAGGATAGTTTTGTTGGGTGTGGTTCTAGGTTAACAATTACTTTTCTCTCAGTGTGTGGCAGATTTTTTTCCTTCTATCTCTCTTTTGTTCTGGAGAAGTCAGCTGTTAGTCAAATATCTTTTCTTAGGTCAAACTGTCTTTTATTTCTCTGCTGGCTGATAGTATTAGTATTATCTCTCTTAATATTGCCTCTTTCCTGGTAATCTAATATACCACAGATATTTTTATTACATGTGTATTAGACTTTGTTTTACATTATCAATCTTGTGCCGCATTCTGAGTTTTTTTTTTTTTTAGGACTATCTCTCCAGTTTGTTAATCTGCCCCTTATAGCTTCTGTTTAGCCCACTGATTAAGTTTTACCTCTCAGTAATTATATCTTTCATTTGTAGAAATTCTGTTTGATTCTTTTTACATTTTTGTTAATTAATCATTCTTTTAATTTCTTCCTTTATTTCTTAAGAAATTTAAAAAATATCTATTTTTGATTTTATGTCTGATAATTACAAAATGTGAAATCAGATTTGTGGGGATCTGAATCTGCTCTTTGTTTTCTGCTTGCTGTTTTTCACGGGGGTGGTGGCAGCAGTACCAGTATGTGTGTGGGTGTGTATGTGTGTATATGTGTGAGTATTTTAATTGTGAGCTCATTTTCGGGGGTGGAATTTATCCTTGGGAATACTTCTGTGTCTAGGCCAAGGATACATTGCTTCAGAGACAATTTGTTTCCTTTTGTGCAGCTAATCCAGAAGTATTTTTCACTTAATTTATTTTAAGCAACTTTATATTATTTTAAAAACAATATTTGCATACTATGGAAAACTAAAGAAAAATGAGAAAATACAAACATCATTCCAGGGCCTGGAGATTACCATTCTTAGCACCTGAATATATGTACTTCTGAATCTCTTTTTCTCATTTGTGTGTTTGTAAATTATGTATTTATGTATTTACATACATGTTTCTTAGCTGGGACTACATCATTGCAGATTCTTGGGGAAATAGCTCTCCTCAATCTTAACCAAAGGCCAGGAAAAACAGCTTCTTCTTTGTCTTCTTTTGCAGGGTTCAATTTTTTTTCTGTTTTACTTTTTGATGGTTACCTTTTAATTTTCTTTTGAGATCAGTCAATACATTGTAAAAGATTTTTTAAAAATTATCCAGCACTTTTGGAGTCCTTCTTTATTTTCTTTCTGATACTTGGTACTGCTTGTTGCCAGAAATAAAAGTCTGTTCTAGATTTTTTATAAACTTATAAAATTTTTTTAATATTCCAGCTCTCATTTTTCTCCATTTAGATTTAGTGAATTAGGTTCTATGTTTTATCTGTTTTGCCTTTTACTGTTATTTTATGTCAGTATTTTTAGACATTTTAAACAAAAGACTAGATGTGGTGACTCATTTTGACAATCTTCATCAGGTTTGTCCTTATATGATGATGTTAAATTTTTGGTTTCATACCATCTTTAGAGAAATGGGAGTTTTCTCTGGAAAATTTTAATGAAATTCCTTGGGGAAAAAAGATGTAAATAAAAGGCAAGGGAATTTCTTCATCAGAGTCTTAAATCAGTTGTCAGTGCAACCTAATTCTGGGTATATACTGCTGTATTTTTTTTAGCATCTTTATTCAGATATAATTCACATACCATAAAATTAACCCATTTAAAATGTCCAATTCAGTGGTTTTTAGTATATTTACAGAGTTATACAAGCACCAGCACAACCAATTTTAGAACATTTTTATCACCCCCCAAAGAAACCCTGTATCTGTTAGCAGTCACTTCCCATTTCCCGCAATCCCTACATACACAAATATCACCACCATCACCACCACCCCAGCATTAGGCATCTGCTAATCTATTTTCTGTCTCTGTAAATTTGCTTATTATGGATATTTCATAAAAGTGGAATTGTACAGTATTTGGTCTTTTGTTACTGTCTTCTTCCATTTAGCATAATGATTTTAGTAATCAGTGTTCTTAGCCTCTGATTTCTTTTGTCTTACATACTTTTTAATGTTACTTGTAAGACAAGAATAGGGAAATAAGTTTTACAAAAATGTAGCTAGAATCCTCTGAAGAAGCCATAGAACCAAATAGACGTTTTAGAATAATTTGAGTTTTTAAAATTTGTGTAATTTGTATAATTTTTAGATGCCTTATCTAGTATTAGTACTTTCAGACATAACAAAATTAATACTTGGAAATAAAGTAAAAGGTAGATTTTTCCCCCATTACCTCTAATATTTAATAATCTTCATATTTTCAAAAACTTTATACTTTAAAAAACTTGAATTCTTTGTTCATAATGTATAGTCAGTTTACAATAAAAACTTAATACTTTTGTTTCACTTCTTACCCTTTCCAACAAAAGTCACACGTAAAGTAAGTCATGGAGCTGAAATTTAAGCCTAGGCTTTCTAGCTCTGCTCTACCTGAGTATACTAGGCCTTCAGATTTCACTATACTAGAGTTCATTTTTAGATACATGGGGGCACATTTGAGTTTAGCAGTTTACTATAGCAATTTGCTTCATCCAAATGTAGTCGAACTTCATAGGGTAAAAGTCAAACTGTATTGACACATGAGGTCATTGATGATACCATATGACGAAAGAATATGTGAGGTTGCTTTTATCTTTGTGGAGAGACTGAGTTAGCAATAGAGAATGGGGTAACAGAATAGGCAGGAAGTGGGCAGCCCCTTGAGGAAAAGGATGTAAGAAAGAGATAGTGAACCATATTGAGGATTACTATCCACTTGGACAGTTTCCTTTGTAACAGTGTACCTACGTAGAATGTTACATGGTAAATCAATAAAGTAAATTGCCTTGGAAATATAAGTTGATGTTTTCTAGTTGATTCATCAATTTTGTCTTATGTTACCCAAAGTAAATCGTATAAATGAGAATTCTCTTTTTCTTGAAGTTGAGATAAAGCTTTTTTCCAATCATCCAGGATCGGTTGAAATTTAAAGCCTCTCTATGAGAGTGAATTTGAATCTTCTTTGTTCTGACTTAGATTATCTCCACTAAATAAGATATAGACAAAACAGTGACTGCTTTTTTTAATGCAGTTCTCATATTTATGATTTCTTTTAAATACATTCAAAGATACTCCTCATAATTTTGCTTTAAGTCAGGGAAACAAAAAATTAGAATGAATTAGAAATTTATTCCTTTAAGTTCAGTTAACTGTTTCATACTTGACTTTTGCATATTTTATCTTGAGATACCTTGCTTTTAAGCAAAAATTCATTAAAGAAAATTCATTTATTAAATACCCAAACTCAGTATTGATCCTTGGAATAAATGATTTTAGCAGTTTTTGACACTTATTCTTAATATTTTTAACTGTTTTTACTAACATGATGCACATACTAAGTATATACTTTTTAAAAAAAGTGCATATTTTTGGTGATAGTTTTTTTTAAAGAATACAAATGCTGAAGAAGAATTCTTGAAATTTTCTAATACGTATCTATAATGAATCATAGATAAAAAGACTGATTTTAATTAGCCTCTGGTGTTTCGCCACACTGGCTATGGGAAAACACTTGTGGATCTAAGATTACATATCTTTAAAAAGCAATACATTAACGTTTCATGGTTGTTTCCTCATCATAGTGTTAATCAAAGAATGATTCAGAAAGAATTGAATACTTACAAAAAAATTATTCCTAAGCAGCTGGTTATGTCTGAATATATAGTGAAGGCCACATTGTAAATACAGAGTTATTTCTGTAATCTTCCAAAGATTCAGTAACACCCAGCAATCCTGTAGTCTAATTCATCCAGACCCTTTGTAGCGAGTCATTGTTAGTAGTTATAATGATAGACACAGTGTGTTCCTTCATTTCCTCAAAGAAGTAGTAGTATAAACAGAAGATGCATACTTGATGTACTAAAATGAGTAATTTTAAAGCATTCAGTTCTTTCTGTTTCATTCTGTACCATCAGAATTTGTATATATTCTTGTCACAAAAAGCTTGACAGAAGTCAAAGAAAGTAAAACATTTATTGTAGATAGAAGAGAAATAATGATTCAGTGAGAAAGAGCTTACTCTTATGAAATGATCATAAGATAGGATTTTTGATGAAGTTAACTAGCTTTCTTAATTTTACTATCAGTTGATATTCTTAGTTCTCTCAGATAAAAGTAACAAAAAAACCCAAAAAGAGTATACATGCCTGGTCTTTAACTGAGGATGTTGTTTAATTATCTAACACCTAAAATTCAGATTTCTAAATAATAGATATTAGACTACTTCAACTAGGACATTTTTATTTTGTGGACATTTGATGTGTTATTAACTTAAATATATCTGATACTATAATTTTAGTTACTTAATTCATTAACTTATAGTTACAAAAGATGTAAAACTTTAGATTTATACTGTATAGCACGAGGGAAATATATTCAATGTCTTGTAGTAGCTCACAATGAAAAAGAATATGAAAATGAATATGTGTATTCGTGTATGACTGAAAAATTGTGCTGTACACCAGAAATTGACACAACATTGTAAACTGACTATAACTCAATGAAAAAATTTTAAAAAGCCTTTAGATACCTTTGTTCACGTTTTTTAAGCTCTCTCTCTGTTTTGGCACAGACACAGGCTTTATTATAATTTGTAGCAAGCATCAGCCCACTGTGTTACCATGGAAGAAAGGGTTCTCTTTTTCATTGCAGTATAGCTTGCCTACAGAGAGGTGCACAAATCATAAGTAGCTTGTTGAGTAGTTACCTAGTATAACAACCTTTGGGTATCTTTCCACAGGAGACTTTGCAGCAATTGATCATGATGTCACTGCCAAATGTCTTAACCATTGGCAAAAATCCCTTTTCTGGTAAGTATTAACACACTAGGTTTTTCGTGGCTCTGTAAGGAAAGTTGGAGATGATATTCCATTTTATATGGAGAAAATAAACAGGATGTTTTTAAGTTGTGGATGGGATCAGACATACATTTTACAGTTAAGTCCAGTGTTTTTTTCAACTACCAAATTGATAGTTTTTTGTGATGAGTTTTAGTGTTTCATAAGCAAGTGTAGAAGATAAGATCAGTAATTATAAGCTTAAAAGAATATAACCTTCAAAAAGAAGTGATTTTGAAGTAATTTCTAGGTTTCTATTCACATGTTTATCATCTCCATTGCCAAAGTTGTTTGAATCTAAGGTTTTACTAATTGATATGTTGTCATTTATATTAAACTACTTCTGAATGGAAAAAAAGGTGAGAAGCGGTTTGTTAAATCATTTAAAATAATTTAAATTATTTTCTTCAAAGTTTTTGCCCTTTTCCAGATTTTTAATATGACATGTTCAGGTTTTAATTTTTGAACACTTGGGGAAATTAGCAGCTACCTAACAGTTTCAACAAAGGACTTACTCTTACAGGCTACATGTAACACAAATCAGGTATATCTTCTCCAAATTCCACACCCAACCTCAGTCAAAACAAACAAACATAAAACCAAAATAAAAACTAAAACCAAGCAGCCAGTTTTGTTAAGCAAACTACCAATTAGTTAAGGTGAATTAGAAGTTTAGATAATCTTTTGAGATAATCTGGGATATTTGATTATACAAATGAAAATTAATTTTGTATGTAGAATGGAATTTTCAGTTTCACATGCATTTAGCAATTACTTACCAAGTTATAGGGACCAGGAATATAAAGAAAATAGGTTATGCTCTAGAGGACCTTGTGTCTTGGTGAGAGATACACAGATGACTGAGAATCATAATAATTAGTATAAAATAAAGATGTAAAAATGTTGAAGCTTATAAAATGTGGAGCCATTGATTATTCTTAAAGTTGGCAGATTAGTGAGGGTTGGAGACCATTGGTGGTTGGGTCAGAGAAGACTCCACAGAGGTGTTAGAGCTGTGCCTAGGATTGTGCTTAGTAGCTGGTTCTCTAGAGGGATGGAGGAGCGGGGAGGGAAGAAAGATAGGCAAAGGAGTAAAGACAGAGGCGTGTGGATGTATATATAAATTTGGGGAAGGCTGATTAGTGTGGCTAAGAAAGTAGGTTGTTTCATGGAGAGTAGGACGAAATGTTTGAAAAGGAAGTTTGGACTTAATCTTAGACGGTTTGGCTTGATGGTGAAATTCTAGCCAAAGAAGTAACTTTTTTTTTTTTTTTTGTCAGCTGAATATTCTAAGGAAATCTGAATTGAGTGCTGTTGGACAGTGAATGTACTTTCCGGTTCTGTTACAGACCATTATCTTTATCCAACTAGTTATATACATTTATTTTACCAGCCTCACCATAACTGACATTTAAGGTTTTGATTCTCATCTGCGCAGTGGAAAACCTTTTAAATTTTATAGGTAGATGAATCCTGTAAGACGTGTGTTTTAGAAAGAAAACACCAATAGACCTAAAAGAAGCCAGACCGATTAGGAACCATTTTGGCTGACTGTAGCATGTCTCTGTATCAGCAGTTCTTGAAATTTCGTTTGCTGGTTTAGTATCACTTATGGAAAAACAGTGGATTTATAGTTAGCATCCTTCATTGCACAGAGATTTGAAGGCTGTTTTATCTATACTGCAACCTTTCATAATTGTGATCCTTGCCCATTTCTTCTGCTTTTACTACATTGTGCACACACAGAGCTGCCTTTTTTTTTAGTTCTCCACTGTACTTACAAACTTAATCGCTTGGTCGAGTTGTTGTGAATATTACCTTTCAAAGTAATTCTGCCCATATAAGAGAGTTGGACTAAAATAAAATGTACTTGGTATTTGCTTTTATTACAGAACAAGGCACAGAAGAAGTTAAAAAGTTACTTTTACTTTTACTGGGTTGTGCCGTTCAGGTAAGTTAAAATATTTCTTCATTTTTTCATTTTAATAACTTCTGTAAATGTTTTTTTCAGGCTGTGGTTTCTAAGAGACTTATGGATGGGGCAGTGGTGTTCAAAGTCTATCTTAGAAATTTTTAAATAACTGTATATCCTCCTAAGGAGATTTTTGAAGAAAAACACTTACTCTGTTATTTTATTTCAAACTTTAGTTGTATTATCAGATAGTAATATCATTTAAAACATTTATTTTTTTATTCTGAGACTTTTAAAGACCTCAAGCTTTTCATGTTTCCCTAGAGGTTGCCTTAAAAACCTCTTCCAAAACATCTTTATGATTTATGCATGCATGTAGTTTATTATAGAAGGGAAAGGGGATTGATAATTAAAAGGAGGTAGATACTATGAAATCATACTAATCTGCTGGTTTAGGAGTCAATTACTGTAATAGAATTAGAAGTAACTTTAGTGCCCATAACACTTTAAGAACTTTGTATAAAGATAAAAGAGAGTTTAGTTTTAAATGGAAAAATTTTGCTGACGATTATTTAGTCTTCACAACAGTCTTCATAGTTGGAAGTGAAATTGTTTATAATTCTATTTTTAACACTAGACTTTTTTATGTTCTAGAGCTGGGTTATCAGAATTGCCGCTGGCCACATGTTGCTACTTAAATTTAAGTTAATTCCAATTAAATAAAAGTAAAATTTCAATTTCTCAGTTGCACTAGCTACATTTCAATACTCAGTAGCCACATATAGCTAGTGATTACTGTATTGGACAGCACTGATATAAAACATTTGGTCTGATTATTCAGCTTCAAAGTTTGAACTTTCATTCTGTCTCTTTTCCATGTTGGTAGTCTTTCTCTTTTCCAGCCTTCAAGAACCTGTCAACTTCATTCTGTATTCTTTATGAAGGTCTAA